AGTAAACAACATTAGATTCCAACAACTCCTCACACCAATCAGCATTTATTAAAAAGCAATCAATTCTACTACGAGGTCTTCTATTGCTCCATGTAAATCTAGGTCCTTGATAGCCCAAATCAATGATACCAAATTAGAAACCTAATCCTAAAAGCATCTATCAAGTTTAGGTGAAGTGTGAGACAACATAAGCCTCTCTTCATCTTGTAAAGTTGCATTAAAGTCTCCTCCTATGTACCACTTTTAAACCCCTTGTTTCTTAATCAATCTAAGATGCTGCCACAAGAATCATTTTCTATCATATCTTGGATTTTCATAAACTATCAAAAGGCCCCATTCATATCTAGTGCCAGAATTAAAATTCCCGTGCAACACTTGTTCATATCTCACTTTTACTTGAAACTTCACTTCATCACCCCATAAACACCATGTACATCCATTGTATCCATGGCTTTTACACAATCAAAATTAATAAGCCTAATTTTCCTATCTGGTATTTGAGCCCTAGAACTATAATTTCTAGTTTCAAGAAAAGCTAAGAACCTAACCTTATAACGCTTGCGTAAGTCAAACAGAAAACCTAGTAAACGCATCCTTTAGATCCACGTACATTCTAGACTAGTATATTATATTTATATGAGTTTTCTATGTAAACTAATATAATGAAAATAAAAAGCCCTATTAGACCTCCAAGGGCCATTCTTCGCACCTAACAATGTCATTCATCTCCTTTTCAATCATGCCTTTTGACAACAGATTAGAATGAATAAGGAAGTTATGTGGTAGGCTCAAACTTGGATTTAGTAGGTCATCATTTATCCTCATTATAGTTGACTCAATATCAACATCATTGTCATCTATATATTGCTCTAAAGCTAAGTTTATATGCTCCACCATCTTGCCCTTTCTACCCTTCTTAATTTCCTTTAACACTTTTTGGCCATTTTCAATATCCTCCTTGTCAAGGCCCAATCTAGCCTTAACTCGGTTCACAATTTTCATCCCAACTAATCCTTTTCCATTATTATGTGGCCCATGCATCTGGTCTGGTTTATCCCCTTAGCTTAGTCCATATTTATAACTGCGAATAGGCCCATTTCTTTTCTCAGCTTTCTTGTATCCAACTATCCCATTATTTCTTATATTTGTAATATCTTTCAGTGGCAACCGATTCTCCATAATCTTCAAGATTCCAACCTCTAAATCCATCTATTTGTTATTTAAGGTTGAGAATCTAGATCTTAGTGCTCCAAATTGATTTTCCCCCCTAATTTCTTGCTTCGAGTCCAACGATTGCCCTTCTGACCAACCACCGTGTCAGAAACGTTTATGTCTCTGCACCAGTATCCATGAATCATACTAGATCTTTAAATTTTCCTCCTTCTCACCCTCATTCTTGTTGACAACCTTTTCTTGGTGCAGCTCAGATTTAACATTATTTTTCACAACTACTTGACATTGATCATCCCTCTCTATCTGCGACCCATAATTCTCTATTTTCTGTATTTTTTCATCACAGTGATCAATATCATGACCATAGTTGTCACAGCTAAAGCAAATCAAGTGTATACCTTAATATTAGATCTTCTTCTCTTTACCATTTATAAAAATAATCGGATGTAATACAGTACTAAGATCAAGCTCTACACAAATTCAAGCAAACTCCCCTTCTTCCTCCTCATTGTTATCATTTCAACCTTTAGAACTCTACCAATATAAGAACTTAACATGTACAAAATGCTCTTATCACAGTAATCTATTTGGAGCTTGGCAATTTGAATCCATGATATAATCTTCATGATTTTCTCTTCATCAAGCTCGAAGCCATCCTTCCATGGTTGCACAGTGAGGTAGTGATCAAATAACAACCAAGGCCTACCACTTAAAGAAAGATCATGGTCATTACGGTTCTCAAATTGCACCATAAAAAACCAAAAACCTATATCAATCACGATGACCTCACCCTTTTTACCCAACATCTGAGGTAATTTAGTCTCTATACACTCAGTTTAAACCATTCACCTAAGGAGATTAACTATCAGGGAATCCTCCCACTTTTTCACCAAGCGTTGTTTCTCTAGCGAAGGTATAATCACATTCGAACCACACAGGGTCATCTTAATAGATATTTTGAATTTGCACTTGTTATTGCTTCACTAGTCCTCCTTTTCAGGTATCTCATCCTTCCCATTAGCACAAGCTTGCTTGTATGACTTCCTACCCTTAGTTGCCTTCTTTCCAGCTTCCTCACCAGACTCCCTACCCTCCTCGTCAACGTTTATCTTAGAAATCTTGCCATCCATCATCCAAGGCTTGTGCCTGGGAACATGGGCTTGATCGCTCGAGAACATACCATCATCCGCACAGACTTTCTTCTTGCTCCAATCAATAGCATCCTTCTCCTCCAGCATCAGCGTTGATCTCCATCCCACTCTCTTTCATCTCTTCGTGTTGTTAAATTATATCCTTACTTTGTATTATATGAATTTAAATAGTTAAACTCTTAACTTGTTAGTGATTGAATAGTCTAACATATTTATAGGCAACGGCAGAACCAACCTCATGGTTTAGGAAGGTTAGGTCCCCTCCCCTAAAAAAATATACATGTAATTACACAAGTATATGTTGTTAATTTTTTTAAAATTTTTATTGTAATTATTTTTAAAAATAAATTATGAAATTTAAAATACCATTAAATTATAATTATCATATTAACTTATCAAAACACCAAATAACGCCATATCTAATATATCAATTTTTATAAATATAGAATATATATACATAAGTGTTTATATGTTTAATTAATTTTTATATGTCATTATACCTTGTTGATTTTGAAAAATAGAAGAGATCTTCAAAATTTATAAAATCATAATAAATCTACCTACTCTAAAATTATGTGTCTAACATGGTTAAGCTACTCCTATTAATATCAATTTCAAACTGAACAAGAAATAAATGATATGCTCATGCAAATGCTCAATTTTGTAATATTTAATTATAAATAATTTAGATAAAAGATGACACTTATAATATAAGCCTCTAGTATAATAACAATCAACATTTTAACAAAATACTCCCTATATAAGTCATCCAAGAGGCGGAACCACGTGAATGTCAAGGGAGGCCCTGACGCTCCCAACCCATCCACCCCTTGAATACTGCTAAGGGACTATTCAAGGATAACGGCCTAACGGGAAATGATGCTTTTGGTGTAATTCCTATTAAAGAAAACCTCTTCACTACAACTCACAAAATGCTAATACAGTAATATTGAGACGCATATGTTTATGTGATTTTATGTCTATTTATATATTTTTACTATTGGTTCATAATTAATATTATTCATTCATTTTGATAGAAGACGGAGCTAAACTTACCATTTACGTTTTTTCAATATTTGTATTCAATAAGCTCAAGTATATGTTATTTTTTTTAATTTTATGCAAGGTTTTATCTTGGTCTTCTTTTAATTTTATAAAGGTATGTTTTTAGTCTCCTAGGCTTAACACTATTAGTTTATAATATGTATTACTTAGAATAGATGGGATCATTTTTTTTTTTTTTTTGTAAATAGATGGAATCATTAATCTCACAGAGAAGGGATACTTCTGGCCATGCCTGAAAACAACCCCATGAAGACATGGAAATGGCAGGGAGTCGGGTTGGGCCTGGCCCCCTGCAACCATTACATGGGTCCGCCTTTGTTCGTAGGAGGCGTTTACGTTGATAGAACGCAGTCCCAGATACTCCATCCTATTTAAAATATATGAATTTTCTTTCAATTAATCTTAATTTAATTTAACATTTATAAAAAATTATCATCTTATATAAATTAAAACTAAAAATAAAAAATAAAAACAATATATTGATATAAAAAATAAAAATTTTATTAATATACAAATTATTGTTAACAGTTATTTACATGAAAAAATATAATAAAATTCTTTTACAATATATAAATAAAATTTTAATTTTTAAAAATATCATAATTTTTTTAAATATTCATAATTTTCTTCTTTTATATATATATATATATATATATATGCATAAGAATTCAACATCAAATAAAACTTATAATTATTTATCTTCAACAAAAATAATTCAATAATTCATATAAATTTTGTTAATAATAAATTTTTTTTAAAACTTTAAAAAATTATAACATTTTAAAAAATTAAATTATCATTTACATATTTTAAAAAAAATTATTCTATTTTTTCAATTTATACTTTAATTTTTGAACCAAAGAGTACGTCGCATTCAACTTTGGCAGGGAAAGATGACTGTGGTCACTACAATCTCTCTGGATGAGGTATTTTTGTCAGCATCATGCTTCGTTAATTACAAGGCTGTACTTGTAAGTTGTTGTAACACCAAAGGAGCACAATCGGCACTCATATGTTTGTCCTCTATGATATGATTTGAATAATTCAAATTTAATTTAAACAATTCAAATGCAAAGCTCTTTACCTTTATCAAAATAAAAATTCATAATTTTTTTAATAAAACTGTTCAATAATTTGATTTAATCTGCACCCTAAACCTCTCTAATGCTTTTCGGATCCTCGGTAAATTTTTGACGAATTCCCGAGTCTCGATCTGAAGTTGTGGTGAGGGGGTTATAGCCCTCAACAAAACACTACAGATAGTTCCATTACCATGCCCTTTCCTTTTGATTGCGGCAATATTGTCACCAATACATATGCTGGAATCTGATGTTAGGATATAATCTACTCATCACATAACAATTCTGCGGATTGTTTTCCGAATTTCATTACTTCTTCAGACACTTTCTCTGCTTCCCAACAATTCGATCATTATTTGAGGATGCCATTCTTCGGGAACCATCCTGCTCCCATCTTAATTTTATCAAACTTTCTCAGTACACAAATCGATTATTAATATACTCTTGAATTTATCTTAATTGGTGGGATGCGTTTGACAGGAATAGACGACTGTATCATGGAGAAAGTTATAAAAACGAAAACAGAAAAACAGAGACGATAACCAAGATCAATAACGCAAATATGCTATAACGAGTCGATATTAATGACAAACTCAACAACGATAGTTAAAGTAAAAAGCCACAAAGCTAATACAACACTCAAATCAAACAAACAACAAAACCAGAAATAAATCCACAGCACTACTCTTAACAGCAAAACGTTCAACAGTAACAAGCAGAGAAATGCAAATACCGATTCATGGCCCTTAAGCAATCTTCACCTCGATGGTCTTGGGCTTCTTGGGCTCGGGCGGAGGCAATTTCTGAACAGTTACGGTCAACACACCGTCTTGACACACGGCAGAGATGGCGTCTATGTTGGCATTTTCAGGGAGCACAAACTTGCGCATGAACTTGCCGACCCTTCTCTCCATTCTCACATATTTGGCCCCTTCTTTCTCTTCCTCCCTCTTCCTCTCCCCACTGATCAGAAGTATATTATCATCCTCTACCTGAACCTTGATGTCCCCAGACTTCAACCCGGGCATATCGACGACAAACTCGTAGAAATTGGGAAATTCCTTAATGTCGGCCGGAGTCGCAGCCATGGCCTTGGCATCACGCACATACGTCCGGGTCGGAGCGTTGACGGATTTATCAGCAGCGTCTTCTGTCAAGTCCATCATATGCTGCAGTGTGCTCAAAAGCGGCGATTCCAAGCCCATGATCCTGAAATCCATCACTTTCCTCTTCGTTGTTGCTAACTGTGAAGACAAGCGCTTGTGCAGATAGTGCTCTGATTGCTAGTGATCTTCGGTGCGGACAAAAGGGTTGGGATAGAGCATTTAAAAGAGTGACAAGAGGTCTGTGGAAGAAATTAGAAAGTTCCGGAGAAAGAGAGAGATAGGATGGGGAGGTTCCAGTAGGTTCGGCTAGAGGTCTTCTACCAACGTCCAGAAGAGCGTAGCGGATATTGTCGTTGTTAAAAATTTATCAAATAATCATGTTGGGCTTAACTTATGATGACTTTCATGTCGTTTTATTTCTTTTTTTATAGCCAAAAATTTAGATGTGATGACTTGACTTCATTTATCATTTATATTCATTCTGTCTCTTTATTTATATTATATTTCTATATACCATATATTATATTATACTATTTACGCATGATGGATAAAAGTAATTAAATAAAACATAATTAATTATTTTTCGTTTAGATAATTTTCACATGCAAGTTAATTTTGACTTTATATATTTGATTGATCTCCCTCGTGTAATTAAACGAAAATAAATGTAATTTATTATTAGAACAACAAAGTCATCTTTTACTATAATATTTTTTTTTATCAAATTCAAATTCGAGTGTTATAAAAGAAGAGTAGGTCAGCCGTTATAATTTCTTTCCATCTCAAAATTTTAAATTTTAAATTTAAGACTATATTTAGAAGACATTAAGCCTTTCGCACCCAATTTAAATGCTATAGAAGTATTGATTATTATCTTACTGTTCTCTTCTTATTGAATGTACTTTTTAAAAAGCATTTAAAACATACTGTGCTTGAAGAGAGATGCAATTCTTCTATTTATTTATTTATTTTTTAAAAACATAACTTTTTATCTTTATAGTTTGATAAAATTTTACATTTAATCCTTATAATTTTTTAATATTTTAAATGTTTATTCTAAATACTAAAAACATTAAAAAAATTAAAATTATGAGAACCTAAAAATAAATACCGCTCACTTTAAATTATAAAGATAAAAAATAATGAAAAAAATAAGGATTAAAAAAATTTAATAAAATTATAAGAATTAATAATTGTATTTTTCTTTTCTTAATATTTTAGGTACAATTTTAACATTTAGAATATTCGAACACATTATTTTGATGAATTTAACTTATAGAATTTATAAGAAAAATTCAAAATAAGAACAGAGTGATATGATGACTGATATATACACATATATATTAAATAAGAATGGTTGGTAACATATATACATGTACATATGTGAAGTTCTATTGGATTACCCACCCTTCAAAAACTTGAACCTCAGTTTTGATTTGCCATCAGCCTGAAAAGTGAAAAATAGTTTTGGTCACATCCTTTTCTTTGTACATATGTAAGTGACCATGGGGTGCGTTAAATCCGACGTTACGGTCTTCTCGTTTGGGTCTAAAGGTGTATGGGACTCTTAACAACCACAACGGCACAAGCTTCAAGGAAGGTTGGGAAAAAAGAGAAGAAAGGAAAATGGGTTCTTTGAATGATTAAACTTGAATTCGGATACTCCAGTAAACAACAAGGCCACAGGCGGACGTTGCAAGAAATGAAACCTCAAATCTATCGTCACCATAAACGATTGCCTAGCTACAAACAAACGTCTCCGGGAGTCAAATCTCAACAAACTTGTTTATTTCTGCTCCAAGTCATACATGCACTACATGGTTTGACAATTATAATTTGTGCGCACGCACCAAAACATTCATAAGAAGGCAAATACAGTGGGAAGCTGGGGACATTGGAATACCAGGAAAACAAGAGCAGAAGCAAAGAGCTGAAGACGAGGTTCATGATTTAAGCAGCCTTGACCTCGATGGTCTTAGGCCTCTTGGCCTGAGGAGGCGGGAACTTTGGTGCAGTAACAGTGAGCACTCCGTCCTTAGAAACTGCAGAGATGTTGTCCTTGTCGGCATTATCAGGGATCACAAATTTCCTCATGAACTTCCCCACCCTCCTCTCCATCCTCACGTACTTCACACCTTCCTCCTTCTCCTTTCCCTTCTCTCTCCTTCTCTCCCCGCTCACCACCAATACGTTCTCGTTCTCCACCTGCACCTTCATCTCGCTCCCTTTGATTCCCGGCATGTCCACTACGAACACGTACCGATCCGGGTACTCCACCACGTCCGCCAGCGTCGCCGCCATCGCCTTCGCGTCTCTCACGTATGCCCTCGATGGATTGTTCCTTCCTCCTTTCTCCGCCTCCTCTGACAGCTCCAGCATGTCCTCCAGCATCGACGGTAATGGCGACTCCATGCCCAGGTTCCTCAAGTCCATTTTTGCGATCCAAACTGCGGATTGATTGGAATTTGAAGGTCGCTCGCCCTATAGCTTTCAATGTTAACTGATTGTTTGAAGCGCAGCAACAGAGTGGTTCCTTTTTATACACGGATTTTCGAAAAAGAAATTAACCAGCTGATGGTTCGCGAGTTCAATATTTTTTTTTTTAAATTTTATTGAGCGCTCTCTAGAACTGTCTGCCCAAGACACCGTTGAAGCTTCTCCTCAATTCTAACCACCACTTTATTCTTTTTATAATTTATCATTAAATATAAGATAGTCTCACATGAAGTGATTAAAAAATTAATTATGACTATATAAGTCAGATCAGCTCATGAATAGGAATTTAAAAGGTCAAAAAAAAAAAAAAGACACGAGCCATCTCCCTGCAACTGTACCCCTCGAGTGTCGGTGGCCAACCCAACGCCTTGAGCCCTTGACATCTCGTTCAGGCTTCAGAAAATTCCCTTTGAGCCAGTACACGAGCCGCCCGTCTCCTCGCAAGTGGCCTTATTATGGGTTGATTAAAAAAAGGGGGGGGTGGGGGGTTCAGCCCAACAGTAACTAGATTGCTTTAATTTGTCCAGGCCAAGATTTGACCTCTGTAAGCAGTTGGGCCAAGAACCAGCACATTATTACTAAGCTTATCTTATTCCTCAGCCCCTTGATGTTGATGCAGCAGCTAAGCGGCAATTAAACCACTATTATCAGTTTTGCAGTGACTACACTTTTCTACATGCTATGCGGTTGCTTTCTTGCTGCATTATTCGGGGACTTAAAAGCCCATCAAACCTCCTCAATGGTTTCGGCTTCTTCGAAGAGATTGCCTCTGATCATTAATTTTTTTTTTTCATACTTAAATCTGATTCATAATCTAAGGCGGCAATGACTAGGTTGCCACATCAGCTTTTTGAATAGTAGTGGCCATTGTTATTGGCACCTGGGACGATTAAGGAGGAGTAACCATGTTTCATTAACCAGACAAGTAACATTTTAAATTATATAAAACTTTCAACTGAATAATAACTTGTTAAATTTCAAGTATGATTAATTTAAAATTAAAAAATCAAATGGTTTTTTTTATTTTAATTTATTATAAAATTTATATTTCATGTTCATGTATTGATATATTTGATGTTATTATTGATTAAACTCTAGCAAACTATTTTTCAGTTTTAAGTCAAGGTGGGTATGAGGATTAGGACAAGAAGAAGAAGGTGCTTCCGTGGTTTGGGTTTGGACTTTGGAGGAAAGACCATTTCACCATTGATTCAAGGTCCAATTTTTTTGGCGCGGAATTTAAGGTGAAATTTGATGAAAGTTGCGCAGTCTCTTCGTCTGGGTCATGTCGATGTAGTAGCTGTTGAAGGCCTGCTTAGTTAGAAAAAGGGTCTTAATTTAGATCATTCATAAATTCAAGTGCCAGGATAAATAAATTGAAGCAAGTCACCTAAATAAATTTCCGCCATGAATAGAAGCTTAATAATAACTAGATTTATGGATATTTTAATATTTAAAAGATAAAAAAACAAAATGTATGGATTAAAAATAGTAATTTATTTTTGTATGCTCAAAATATCATATTTTATTGATTTATATAAGGATTAAATGATATTTTTGCCCCTCAACAATTTGCTTAAATTCACCTAATATCATAAACTTAATATGATGCAATTTCTCCCATTAACAAAAAAAAATGGTGTATTAAGCACTTTATTATTATAAAAGTTAATTTTGATAGTTAATTAACTAAAAAATTACAAAAAATGATATAAAACATTATAAAAAATTATCCATAAAATTAAAAATAAATATCATATAAGAAAATTAATATCGATTAAGCTTTTAAAATAATGATTCGTTAAAATCATATTTTAACCTTTTATGTGGATAAAATATAACATTTATATCCTAAATTTTTATATAATTTAAGGAATTTAATTAATATTAATTTTTTATAAGGTATTTATGTGCAATATTATGGGTTATTTTTTTTATAATTTTTGAGGTCATTTCTTACAATTTTAAAGTTAGCTGACATTATAGTTAACTTTTTTAGTAGCATAATGTTTAATGCACTATTTTCAAATGTTTAAGGAAAAAATTATACTACTTAAAATTTTATGATACTAGTTTTTTTTTTAGCAAATAGTTAAGGGACAAAATTACCCTTTAATCTTTTATATAAATTAAAATTTAAGTAATAATTTATTTTATGTTAAAAATTGTTTCACCCTTTCATATTAAAGATAAAAATAATTACTTATTTTATTGTAAAGTGTGTTATTCGCAGGGTACATTTGTACTTTTCCTTTGATTAATATGTGGGAAAATTTTGAAATATAGTTAAAAAAATATATTTCCTACTAAGTTCTCCCCCATGATTAATTGGAAAAAAATTTCCTCAAAAAAATATTCTTGAATCTATCATTAATTGTCATGTGCAAATTAAAATTTAAGCAGTAATTTCTATTATACAATTTGTTACCCTTATTGTAAGAATAACTTTTTAATATATATTAGTGCCCTATGTATATTAAAAAGGACAAATACAATCATCAATCCATGCAATTTTATTTATTTTTTAATCCTTATAGTTTTTTTATGTGTATTCAGTCCTTATAGTTTTAGCAAATTTAACAAATGTTGTTATTCAGATTCTTATAGTTTTAATGTTTTCAATTGATATAAAGACTAGAAATATTGAAAATACTATAGGGATAAAAAGTAAAATCTAATAAAATTATAGAGATCAATGATTATGTTTTCTATATTAAAAAATGTAAATAGTTTTTTTAATTCCTCACATCTTGCAAATTAAAATATAATTAATTTATTTTCTTTTGGAATTTGTTCAACCATCCTAGGAAAAATAAAATATTTAACATAATAAAATCTATACTATAATTTATGTCATAATAGTTTTTTAAATTACAATTATAGTCACAAAGTAAAAAATAAATAAAAATTATATATACTAAATAATGATGTTAAATTAAGCAAATAGCAGAGCTAATATTATAGTACCCTCTTTTGTTATATATATGCCACTTTGAACTATCCCATCCCATGAGACATAGTTAAATAATTTGTTCTATTTGAAGAGGAAAAAATAAATTTACTTTTATTAAATGCATCACATTTAAAAGATAATTTCTCCTTTATATGTCACTTTTTCCTCTATTTATAAAAATACATTAAAATTTAAAATAAAAAATAATTAATGATCCATTTTTTATGAAAAAACCTTATCAAATAGAATTGCTTGTAGAGAGTGACTCAGGCTCCGGATCCTCTCGGCGGCACATTTCTGCACGTCCCTGCACAGCAAATTGATCAAGACTATTCGCTTGATCTAAGAGCTCCAAAAATTGCCACGTCAAATTGATGACAAAGCTGAATATGCATCGTCTACTAAATGATCCTATTTCAATTGATCCTTATCATTCCAACAAAGGAAGAAATCACAGAGCCTCTTCTCACCCTCGTTGGGCTTCTCCGCTTAGTCCACCGTCGTGTCCCATTGAAGAGGAAGAAAATCTCCCATATATTCAAGTTACCGACTCTTCTCCCATATATTCTTGAATTTATTTGTGTCCAATTGGCGGCAGTCAGTGGCTCTTTCACTCATTCTAATAATTATATGCCGTGCTATTGGATTTTTAAAGCCTAGAAATTGAAAATGGTATCTGTTTGTTATGGTTGCCAATGTTCTTACTATTAGTTTTTTCTCTCCGAAATTCCAATAGTCTATTTGGTTTCTTCAATCTCAAATATTTTCTACGATGGAGGCTCCGTAATCTATAAATGATATTGTAGTCTATCTCTCAAAGGAAGTGTGCATCAAAATTATTAGAAAAAATAGTGCCACTTGAATGTAAACCATATGAAAAGACTAATTGATATAAATTGTAAAGCAGCCTACGGTCCTCCAATTGATACTAGTGGTGACCAAAGACTAGTAAGTAAGTTGATATATCTAGTTCAAACCAAGCCAAACATAAGCTTTCTGTCAATGTCATTAGCCAATGCATGGATAGGCCAACTGAAGAACATCTTGAAAATTCTAGTTTATTTTGACATTGACTGGGTAGTTTTATTTTTTTGATTTTTTTTTTCAAGTCTACATGTCCTCAATGCCTTCAAGTCCTTGATAATGATGCCCTTTTACTTTAATAATTAGGCAGTTTTAATTAATGGTTAATTATCGTAGGTTTTGTCCCCTGATTCTTCTCCTCTCTACTAATCAAAGATCCATAGTGCCTTCCTTCTTAATGATTTGGGTCATTCATTCATGTACACACACTCTCTCCCCCCCTTCTTAACTCACCATGAGCATACTAGTGAATGAATGACTACACTTGAGGTAGTGCTTGCGGTGGGGGAAGTGTAGAACATGAAATTAGAGCATCTAGTTTTTCACTTCCTCCCTTAGCTAAGGACCTGCTTATCTTTCCAAGATGCTCACGCTAATTCTTAAATTTCTCCTTTCTCTTAGTTCCATCTCTCTTTTTAATTCCCTTGGGTTGTTTACAATTTAGTTCCATCATATGCTTTTCTTTGTTCCCCCTTTCTTCCTTACATCTATCTCCTTTATTTTTGTTGCCATCATTTGAATTCCTCAATTTTGAACGAAAGTATCTTGCTTGCTTATGAAGTTTTATTATATATTTGTGCAGAGTCTGAAGCTTTTGGACAATCAGACATCTCAGTTGCTAATTTTATCATCATATGACATAATTGTCAATATCTTTGTGTTCTTTGAAGCTTAGGATCCACTTGTATTTCATTTCCCCTAATATCATGTATCACACCATCTCTTGCATCTTTAGTCTATCTTTTCAAAATATATTTTTTTGGTAGTTTTCTCACTTCATTTGCCTCATATTTTTAAGGCATAACAACATAATGACCTAATAGATTCAAAACGCCTGCAACTGATCCACACAGAATTATTGTTAGAATCAAATGTCAATGTCCACTCTTTATCTTCATTAACCATGGTACCAACATATATGAATAGTGGACCTTTCTCATCTCGAGAGGACATGCATATGGCAAAAAAGAGATCCAATTGCTCTTGGAACAAGTCTAACATTAGGGCAATTTTAGCATGTTGTCGTAGCATAGGAGAACTTTGGACAATCAATTGTGGCTTTTTCTCCCTTGCATCAAACTCACATTTTAACTCATTGTACCTCTTATTTGCAACAACCCACCCAAGGCTTGTAAAAAATTCATTAATATCAAGACTTGGGTTCGTAATACTTTTGATATCTACATTAATACTTTCACTTATTTTTGTGCTATACATACCAAGAGTAACAGAGAACTTCATATAGCACCATGCCCATTTCTCTTTAGTTTCATACAATGACTTCATCCACAACTTGTTCTCCAAATTGTATGATGATATTAAAGAAGCCCATGATTCTTTAAATTTTGATTTGTCTTCTATAGCAAACATATACTTGTTGAATTCATGCAAAAATGATAAATCACCCTTCATCTTGTTTCCTAAATGTTTTATTTCATTTTGCTCAATATGAAAATGCATGCTTCACTTCAGGAACAACTTCATGTAATGCTCTTGCCATTGCTTGATCTTGGTCAGTAAAAACAATTGTAGATCTCTTTTGCTTGTTTGCTTTTATGAAAGTTTCCAATAACCGCTTGAATGACTATGTGGTTTTATCATATAATAAAGCAACACCAAAAATTACAACTCCTCTATTATGATTGAATCCTGCAAATATGGCAAGAGGCCTACAATTACAATTTGTGCAATATGTGGTGTCTAATGAAATTACATCTTCATAATAGGCATAATCTACAAGAATATGAGCATCGACCTAAAAAATATTTGCAATTTGATTTTCTGCATCAAGTTGATATGAATGATAAAATGAAGGGTCCTCAATAATTTGCTCCTCAAAATAATTCAATAAACATCCAGCTTCTTCATCCTTCATACTTCTTCATCATTTAGTTTTCAAATAACTTTTCATATCAATTTTGGTAAAACCAAGATTAGCTTGCCCACCTGCTTGCTTACCCATAAGATCAAAGGTTGCTTTTTGTTTAAGTCCAGGATTCTTAGCTAAATCAATCTTATCTACCTGTGCATTACTAATTTTTCATTGAGAGCTCATCATATGCTTCGCTTCTTGAAGGTGTAATGGGTGGTTATTATACTCTTCTATAAAGCTAATAATCTTGAATTTACCCATTTTTTTCTTTTTTACTCTTGAGACCTCATCATTTGTGCTTCTTGAAGATGTAATTGCCTTTTTATCTTTTTTACTCTTTGTGAACCCATTTTTTCTTGCATTAAAGCCCACTCTACAAGCATAATCACTCCAAAACCTTCATGCCTCCTCTAAGTTATCAAATTCTTTTCCCAATCTAGGAGCTAAATCAGCCTCCATAGATTGAAACCTGCAAAATAAATCTATGGGTGACACACATTATAAGCTTGTAAAAATTACTTTTGTGAAAATTAGAAATTGCAAAAATTTAAAAACAACTATAACAAAAATTATAAAACGAGAGAAGAGTATGGTTGACAAACTAAAAAAACGCACATACATGCATATAGAAATTCCATAACAGATTAAACGAGGAAGAAAAATATGCCAAAAAAAAGCCAGAAAGTAGAAATAAAAGAAAGCACATAGGTCTAACCTGTTCAGGAATAATATGCCAGGTGTTAACAAGAAAGAACCCAACAATTGTCTCAATTCCAACACCTCGTTTCGACTTTTGTATTGCTCTGCATCATCTTCTTGTTGTGGCAGTGATACAGCTTCCGTGTCATTTGTTTTTTGGGACAACAAATAAAGCTTTTGTAGTGTTAAACAAGAAGATGCTATCTTTTTCAGAATTTCATTAAAAAAAAAAACTTTACTTTGTAGTTTACATATTGCAAAAGAGAGAAGCCTGCGTTGTAGAAAAATCCCTACACTGAGGATTTTTGTAATGTTACTTATGAAAATATCCACAAGATATCATTTTAAAAGCATTGGATATTCTATAATTTTAAGTGGAATAATTTTATTCCTAAATTATTTTTTTAAGAGCAAAAAATCCTTTTGTTAGTTCACATTGATTTTTTTTTTTGTTGACGTGGCATATGTGTGGGCCTTACACAGAGTGGTATATAAGACTTTAGCCATGTTCTTTGATGCTAATTTTTTTTTGAATTATTTTTTTAAGAGTGTTGAGTACCTTAAAATTTTTTTTTCTTTAGCATTGGACACCTTGAAGTTATGTTAAAAGAAAATTTAATAAATATTCTTAAAATATTAAGTATGTTATTGTTTAAAATATTACACCACCAAATTTAATATTTTAATATTTTTGATATTTTATAATTTCATATTAAAAACAATGGGAATGAACCTTCAAATTAATGAAGAAATTTTTTTCTTCTCATTTTATTTTTCTCTTGTTAAGTAACATTTTTTATAACACATTATTCTTAAAATATTTTTTTGGCATATTGTTGGTCCTAATTTATCATGTTTCTTATTTTACTCCTAACATTGTGATGTAGAGAGAGTATTAGATTTGAGAGTGCAATATTTTAGAGAGAGATTGTTAGTTGACCAAAAAAATTATAGAAAATGACCTAAAAATAAAATAAATTTAATTAATATTAAAAATATAAGTAAGTTCTAATATACACAAAAGCCATAATGATTTGGACACTGTTTTGAAGAGAATATTGAAGATTGATATATAAAAAAAAAGTCATCTATAAATTTATAAAATACTAATTTGAATTGTTAATATTTAAAAAATAATTTATAAATTTTGAATGAATATTTGTAAATAATAATATTTAAGTTATTAAATAAGATAATATTTAATATTTTAATAATATTTATTAAATTTTATTTTAATAAGACTTTAAGGTACCTGATACTTCTAAAAAAAACTTTAAAGTGCCCAGCACTCTTGAAAAAAGAGTTTAAAAAAAATTAACACTAAAGAACATAGTCAGAGTCTTACCTGTCACTACTTGTGAGTTTCATGCACATGTCACGTTAGCAAAAAATGGCCTCCTAACATGTGGGCATTTTTGAACCTTGAAAAAATATTTCAGTAAAAAGATTACCCCACTTAAAAATATAGGGTGCCCAGTACTACTAAAAAATTTATACATTGGAAAAAATGGATCTTAATCATTTTTATTATAAGCCACACATGATCATTCAATATGCAATATTTTAAAAAAAAAGTCATTGTTCTTCTTATATAAATTTATTTTATTTTATAATTAAAAATTTATTGCATGTAAAATTTTTTATTTCATATAATTCAATATTTGAAACAATAAAAATCATCCATTACATTATACACATATTTTTTACAATTTATGTAAATTTAAAGTTTGTAATATCATTGTTACACATCAGCACTCACTTTTTTTTTCAAATCTCTCATTTATTATTTATTTTTTTAACCATTGGTGCCACAACAACCTTTTTAATTATGGCCCCCACATTCTTACAATTTCTCAAAAATTATCCCCAAGTGTAAACATAAAAAAAACTAAAAAATAATTTTTAAAAAAAGTTTAATAGGATTACTGTTCAAAAAACTTTGATGAACAATAAATCCTACTAAACTTTATAATATATGTAAATAATTTATAATTATAATTACAATTTTCAGCCCGAGTATATTAAAAATAAAATTAATTTATTATTTGAAGATATTAATTGTAGTTTTTTTTCTACAATTTATTATCTTTTTTATCTTCACATTGTATTATCTTATGCATATGCAAAATACAAATAACTAATAATGCCTCATACTTTTCATTTTTAACATGAATCTCATATTTACCATCATATCTCATCATAAATCCCACAATTATTTTTTTATTGTGAGTCCCACATGATCTTTAAATTAAACATACAAAAATTTTGGGGGCAAAAAAGATTTTTGTTACTATTCATCCAATTGTAGATAAACAGTAAAAAAAATAGCATACTTTACAATATAAAAGAAAGATGATTGGAGTTTGACCAAATAATAATAATGATAATGATGTTTACAATTACGAGCCGCTTTATTTTGTTTAAAGGCTTTACGTACACCAATTCCAGACAAATAAAATAATAGCCTGGCTTAATGACTTTGTCCTATCAATTCAATCCCCGAACTTCTGCTAAATGAAGAGATCACCTGACTTTCACATATACGGATCCTTAAATCATCTAACGTCCTCCTTGTAAAGATGCGCATACACACACATGCAGGGGCGGTGACTGAACGTCATGAACAAAGGTAGGGCAAAGCAGTGCTCCCACCATTCTCACAACAATTTAACACAGAAGCATAATCAATCATACAAATGTTTTTTCTTTTTTCTTTTTGGACCGAACACTAAACGAGCTTCTCAGCTCGATATCCAAGTGCTACGATGTCTTGTTTATCTATAGCCTATACCTTTCACATACATATATTCTCGTTGATGCGGGGAGTGAGGCAGAGGCTCACCCTCAACGAGGGAGTTATGATTTATTAATTATATTTGAGTAAGATGTAATTTTTACATATTTATTAATACATATTTACCGAAACATGACAATAGTAAGGTTTTAATAATTATGTAATACATTTATAATTTTAAACGAAAATTCTAATTTTTTGGTTCAATAATGAAAATTATACTTGATATATAACAATTGTATACGTCTCATGTTATTATTGAAAATTTATATATTTATTTTCTTCTGATTAAAAAATTTAATGATAATTAATACTTTTTAAAATTCAATGTATTATATTGAAGAGAATGTGTAAATTCTGGTCATAAACAAAGGCTCTGAGCAATATTATTCATCAGTAAGAAATTATACTACGATTACAAAGCACCTATTAAAATTGAGAAAGGGATTAGATTAGGAGTTGGGAGCCCATGTTGAGCATAAACCGGGGGAAGAGGGCAGCCATGGTATTGGGTTCGGTTCGGGTCACACTTTGGCAAGCAGACTGGAAAGGGAGAACATCGTCTGGGCCACCGATATAGTAACGGACACGTGTCCGTTTCCGTTCAAAACCCTCACTAAGCTCCGCAACCTCCTTCGATAATTTCGTTGAGTCTTTCAGACCCCCCCCCCTCTCTCTCGCTCCATCCTCAGCTTCACTGTATCTTTGCTCATCAGCTCTATAGTGTAGCTTGTCTTCCTCTCTCTCTCTCTGATTCTGCATCTTTGCGTCCCCTCTCCTCCTTCTCTCAATTGACTTGCTTGATTCAGACTTGATGAATTGTTGAGCAACTAAAGCAACATGATCAGGGTGCATACTTCTCTGGTAAGCACTATGGTCTGTTACCAATCTGTTTCTCTTTCGTCAAAAAATATCTGAACCATTTCTGGTGATCCCCATAATCTGTCTTCGCGAGAAGAAAACTACAAAACTTTATTTCTCTATCTCAACCCACTCCCTGGACTTCCTATTATCCCCTTAACTGTTTACTCTCCTAGTCTTTCAATCTCTGTCTTTTCTATTACTTTTGTGTTTTCCTGATTAGTCCCGAGCCCGCCTTGCTCGGTGCTATTTTTAGGTAAATTTCATGTTCTTTCTCCAGGATTCTCGAGCAAAACATAGCTAGCTCGGTCTTTTTTGGTTCAGGATTTGGCTTACAGTGGTAAGATAAGGGGGCCCATCCGTGAAGGGCTTTCCCGAATTCATCTCTCCGTTAGCGTGATTCCTCCAAAGTGGCGAAGATGAGTTTAAGTGCGGCTGAGGACGATTCGGCTTCAGAAATTCATATCCCGGCAGAGATAGACTGGCACATGCTTGACAAATCCAAATTCTTCTTCTTAGGCGCCGCCTTATTTTCTGGCGTATCTACAGCGCTTTATCCTATTATTGTGCTGAAAACCCGCCAGCAGGTTTGTTCGTCTCAGATTTCTTGTTTCCAGATGTCTTTTTCCATCATGCGCTACGAAGGCTTTCGAGGGTTTTACAAAGGTTTTGGTACCTCCTTGACTGGAACAATCCCTGCACGAGCACTTTACATGGGTGCACTTGAAGTTACCAAGAGCAATGTTGGCTCAGCTATTGCCGGTTTGGGGTTTTCAGATACCACCGCCACCGCCATAGGTAATGCAGCTGCGGGAGTGAGTTCTGCCATGGCGGCACAATTAGTTTGGACCCCAATTGATGTTGTGAGTCAAAGACTCATGGTTAGTGGTAGCAAGAACATGCTTTCCAGTGTTCGTTGTGGGAATTACAGGAATGGTTTTGATGCCTTCAGAAAAATTCTTGGCACCGATGGACTGCGAGGTTTATACAGAGGATTTGGTATTTCAATATTGACTTATGCACCATCTAATGCTGTGTGGTGGACTTCTTACTCAATGGTCCATAGGTTCATCTGGGGTGCTTTTGGATGCCATATGGGCAAGAAGGATGATAGCAAATTGGCCAATGGGTATGGTTTTAGACCTGATTCGAAGGCTATGGTTGCAGTTCAAGGGTTAAGTGCAGTTGTGGCTAGTGGGGTTTCAGCTATTATAACTATGCCACTTGACACGATTAAGACAAGGTTACAGGTGTTGGATGCAGAGGAGAATGGACGAAGGAAGCCATTAACAGCTTTGCAGACTGTTAGGAACCTGGTGAAGGAAGGTGGCTTCATTGCTTGTTACAGAGGACTGGGGCCAAGATGGGCTTCAATGTGCATGTCTGCTACAACCATGATTACCACCTACGAGTTTTTGAAACGAATGTCTGCCAAGAGGCAAGAGAATTTATCTGCATAATGTCTTGAAGCAGGAGAAAGATTCTATAGGAATTAGGATCTGTCTTTTCATTACATCTGTCGGGCTCTCCTGACGTTTTTTAAGCTTGTAATAGCCTGCCTCATGGCCAATATGTCGTGATTGTATATTCATCATCTTTCATTTTCTCCTATATCTACCAAAGAAAATAACTCTAGTTTCCGTTGTTTGTTTCTATCTGAGTTTCAATACTTTACACTTTGATGGTTATCGTGCTTCACTCGTAATAATCGGAACTTTTTCTAACCACGTCCTTTTGCCTACTTGATTCCGTAAACAAACACAGAATTCTGAAGGGGTCAGCGAATTACGAAAGACAGGTGTATATACTCGCCGCGTTGGTGAAAATTATAATGAATCCATGCGAGTCGAGGAGGAAGGAAGGCTGCTGGCCCTTGCGACCTTCAAAGGACAGGGGATGCGGTTATTAATCGGAGGTTGGTGAGGTCGGAGTACTCAGTAAAGGTCACCTGACTTAGGACTGGACAAGGGACAGACATGACATGGTTTTGGCCCAACTTCAAGGAAGGAATTGGATTAAACAATTTATAATTTGATTCAATTCAAGCTTAACTTAAAATTAAATAAAATCAGACTTTATTTATAAAATTAAAAGACCAATCTCAATAATTTAATATATCTCTTTGTTTTTCTTTTCATTATTTTCTCTGTAAGGAAACAATTTGTTTCAACCTGATAAGCTTAATTAAAATAATAAAAAATTTATAATATATAAAACTTACCCCAAAACATCAAAGATTAATCATAATAAATTCAGAACAATCTCCAACAATTAAAAAAAAGTATTTAATTACAATTTATAACAATATTCAACAAACATTAACATGTCTAAACTACATTACAACAAGAAGTTAATAACAAATTTCAACTAATCTTTCATGTAATCATTTCCTTCGACATTAATAAATTACACTTGATGTATCTGTAAAAAATAAATTTTATACAAATGTATGATTAATAACAATGCAACATATAAATTTAAATTGAGAGACATAAAATCAAAAATATTACTTGTAACATTAACTATATCGTCGGTCTCTTGAAAGTTGTCAAAATCATGGAGCATGAAGGCAAATGATGAGAAAGATTGCCCTACAACTGGCCAATTTTAAATACAAATAAGGGCTTCAGTTATCTTGAAAGATGAAGAGCTCCTATAATTAGCAACAACACGTCCTTTAATACTACAAGCAAATTCATATGCTAATGTAGATACTAGTATAGCTAATTCAGCATGTGCTATCAATGAAAGCACTCTATACTTGGTAGAATTATTACCCCACCATGTTGAGATATCAAAATCATCATCTTCACTTTTAGTGAGGGTGTTTTCAGATGCATTTGCAAAAAGGTGTTTATCCAATTTCGATTGAGTTTTTACTGATGAGATTTTTTTACTTTTGGGATGTCAACCATCTACAATTAGTGCCTTTTTTACCTTTATTTAAATTTGAAGTGTTGGCACTACCAAAAGTATTCAAAGAGTTGGCGCTATCAGAATTACATGTTTCATGACAAAATTGTTGCAGGATATTCCTCAAATATGCGATACAAGGTGTCTTTTGCCTTATTCTTCATGGACATACGAAGGTTAGGGTTAGGAAAAAGATGTTCAAATATATGGTTGATGTAGGCAAACTTATGTTGAGAATTGGAAATCACAACAATAATCTATTATTTCCATTACTTATCATACTCATTCTTCATGTTCAAAGACATTTGCATGAGAAGAGGGTTATTACTTTTAATATTTTCATCTAACATCTCCTCAATCAAATCAATTTGATTGAAGCATGTGTGTGTAGTAACCATTAGTGTGTTAAAAGATGAAGTGAAGAGTGAATGAAGAGAAGAGAGATAAAAAATCATTAAATGAAATGAGATGCATGTTTAATAATCAAGTCTTAAGTTTCAAGTTCAATTATATTAAAAAAATAAATATAATTATCTTTAAATAATTTTATAAAATTAAACCAAATCAAGTAATTTAAAAGTTTAGTTTTTTTGTCCAGTCTAATTTTAAAAAAAAAGTATGGTAGTTATAGTTTTTTTCAGTTTTTCGGGACAATTTTTTCTATAAAACTAGACAAGATTTACTCGTGTTGAGCAAGGTACTCAGGTTGCAGAGGGGTGATCGGACTTTTGGACAGTCCTAATCCAGCCTATGACTCCAATTTCCTCCCTTTTCGTTAAGACCACGAAGGACGCAAATAATATTCTGAGGTTGACTTTTTCTAGAAATATTTAATCAGTGGATAGAAATTCTTTATTCGTTGGAAAGAGATCACTTCAGAATGTCACATATGCCGACTAGAAGCAGCTCTGTTGTTGAATGGCAGGTTGCAGGCACGCAAAACAATCACTAGGGTAAACGACAAGCCCCTCATTGGGCTCAACCGAGGACCAAAAATTTATCAACTCAAACGGGTAACAATTAGATTTGGAATTGGCCTCGTAATTCCTGTGAGCAGACAAATTCATTATGGGTTTTTCATGAGACTGTATAAAAAACGGGACGATATTAAATTTCATCTTAATTTAAAATTTAATGTTTTTTTACAAAAAAATTAAATTAAACAACTCATAATTTGATCTTGTTCAGTAATAATTTAAAAATTAATAAGACTGGTCTTAATTTATAGGACTGAGAGATTGATCATATCAATTCAATACTCATTTAGCTTTTTTATTTTATTTTATGAGAGGTAATAATTCATTTCAACATAATAAACTCAATTAAAATAGTAAAAATACTTATAATAATAATAAATTTATAATAATTTTCAACAATAAAAAAAATATTTCTGTTATAATTTAAATGATTTAAATTTATAACTTTAACAAAAACAGCACTCAATAAAATTTAACAACACTACATTACAACAACAATTTAGAAACAAGCTTAACAAATCTTCATACAATCATCTCCGTAGAATCAATTACACTTCAAACATTTGTCAAAAATAAATTAATTATAATTATAATAAAAAAATTAATAGGACTAAATTGGACTAAGTGGTCCAGATGCTTAGTCTCTTATTTAATTCAACCTGAAAAAATAGTCTAATTTTTTCAGTTTTTTTAATTCTGAAGGACCAGTGTCTATACAAACCAACTAAGACTAAGATCATCTCGAGTTAAATTGAATTAAATAAGATTAAAAGACTTTTACACAGCTCTAATTCTTCAGCCGGCGAGCATATTAACAATTAAAGAGTGTGACATACCACTGCAATTCTAAATATAAAACAAAATTAATTAATTTTATATTTATTAAAAGATGAAAGTTATATTCTTAAAATTATTAAAAACATTGTAACATTTTAATTTTATTATTATTTATAATTAATAATCATAATAAATTATATTTTAAAAATTTGAACAACACTAATATCAAAGCAGCACACCAAAAGCTTAGATGGAATGAGGTTTGAGATAGGAATTGGGATTATAAATAGTAGTGGTAGTGGAAGTCATAATGAGCGGTGGCAGAGTCTGAAAACCGATCCATGGAACAGAGGCAGCAGACGTCCGTGTCCTATGTTGAATCCAGGGGCTCCTTCGCAAAATCCAGTTTCTCCAACCAATCCATGTTTCATTTCTATGGACCCCTGGAGACCTAAAAACCGTGGGCCATACGCAGTCATATGAACTCCTTTCTCTCTCCACTTTATCCGATTGTCCTCCCCTCCTTTGCTCCAAGATACCAAATATTGGAATCAGAGGAAGTCAGTGATATACGCTTATGAATGCCAGCTATAAAAAATTACGGTCACCGCCATGAATGGCGAAGCGACCTCAGTATTGTTGTCGGTAACATCAGATTGGAGTTTAGTATTACAGTTTTCTTTTAGCAAGACAACGCTTTTCTTCAATTTCTCAGCGTAGCCAGGGCGATTGTGGCGTAACAAGTTCTTGGAACCGACTTAATAATTCCAGTGGCAATGTGCCATCTGGGCTTTTTTCCCGCGTGAAACGACATTTTAACGGCGTTAAGCGTGGAGTGATCCGTTCACGACCTGTGAGATTCAGTATTTGAATTAAAAAATTTACAATTAAAATTAAAATTTAATTAAAGTTAGCAAACTAAAATTAAAAAAAAAGTCAATTGATATAACATGATTTATGTTTGGATTTTTTTTTTCAGAAGTCAGTTAAATAAACTGAAATTTGTTTAAATAATTTCACTCAAAAATCAGTTAAAATATTTAATATCAAAAGTAAACATAAATTTTTTTATATATTCTTTGACTAATTAATAAGTAAAAATATTAAACTTAAAAATCAAGTTTTATACAATTTTAGTTTTATGTTATATATACACAAATAGTTATTATTTTATATATATATATATATATATTCATTGAAAGCAAGACTTTTTTGAAAAAAAAATGCACTCTAGTTTTGTACAACTTAAATTTAAATAAAATAAATATATAAAGTTGAGGAAAAATGAAAAATCTAAATAATAAATGAACAGAAAGCAGAAATAAGTGTTAATGTTTTATACTTTTTAACATTTAATGCTGGAGCTCGGGTGGATAGATAAATAAACAGAAAATAAAAATAATAAATGAATAAAAAATAATAAATAAAGCAAAACAGGAGTTGGTGTTAGTAGATGAGAAGCAATAGAAAACATTGAAGGCCAACGTGAATGGAGAAGCTGTGTATCATAGCTTGGGGAAAAACATTCATTTACACCCTAATTGCAGTTGGAATTTTTGCCCATTCAAACAATATTTTTTAAGTTTTTTATGTTTTAACGTTAGTTTTGTCTGTTCTCACTTAAGTTAGAAACTAATTCAAATATGTTCTCAAAGATTGATGTATTCAATGTTAAACATGGAGTGATCATTCACGACTTCTGAGATCCAAAAATACTTCCTTCGTTAAAAATTATAAGATTTTTTTTAAGAAGTTAGATATTTAAAAATATAAAGTATTTTTAATTTTTTGAGATAGTAGTCATTACATTTTTTTTCAAAGCGTCCCTATTAATAAATGACTTTATATTTATTATAAGGTGTTCAATAAAAATAAATATAACAAGATAAGATTAATTTAAAAATAAATAATTATTTTATTAAAAGATGAGATTAATAATTAAAAATATTTTATATTTTTGAATAGCGTGAGCAAATGTGTTCAACTTCTAATTCTCATTCGCTTTGAATGTCACGCTCCACAGTTACACGGCGGAGTTTCTGGCAAGCAGGAGCAGGAGTTGCTTGATTTTCTCAGCATACATTTAATCTTGTGAGTGTAGAAGCTTACAGTTGGTTATAACATTAAATAATACTAGCTCAAAGTTTTGAAGAGTCCAAGCTCTTTCAGGTTGTCCAACATCCACAGTTCCAAATTCAGTGGGTGATGAATCCTAGAACGGATGCTTCCTATATAATATCTTATAAATGCCACGTTATCTGTTCAGGTCACACACTATCAAGCTAAATGTCAGCCTCAGTGTCTCACCGTTTAAATTACTTTCTCAAGATCACATGATGTCAATTTCTTCTTGAATTGCAGTGAATCTTAATTGGACTGATGGTCAGACTAACAGCTCAATTAAGTTAAAAAAATTATTTAAAGAGTCGAGCTGAATTAAACCGTTCTAAATCGACCATCAAATCGAGAATTAAAATTAAGCAGAAAATTGAATTCAATTTTTTAAAAACTAAACTATTAAAAAAATAATTTTTTTAAATTTTTTATCAATTTTTTTAAATGATTAATTTTTTTAATCATTTAATAATATTATGTTTTATCGACTTGTTTAGTTGTGATAAATTTAAAATATTTAATTTTATTTTAAAATTTAGTAATAATTTTATATTTATTTATTATATTTAAAATATTATATATATTTTTTTTAAATTTAATTATTAATTAGCCCATCCCGATTGAATCATACAAAGCATAAATTATTGATCTTTTTAATTTAATATCTGATTTAATTTTAAAAAAATTAGAATCTATACATAGGACATCAAGCTTCAAAATTTCGAACTAACATTGACCCTGACGGGCCTTAATTAAAAATGTAAAATTATATTTGCTAAAGAAAAAAGTAAAATTATATTAACAAATTTTAAAAATAAATAATCAATTTAAATTACTGAGTTTACCAAAATTTTTCATGGAAAATATTTTTGAACTAAACATGAGCCCTATAGATTGCATGAAGTTCTAAAGATCATAAAACTATGGCTTGCAATAGCTTTTCTACTTTTTAGTATCATATATTGATTGATGATTGATACAGAAAATCGACAAACAAGGTGGATCCCGGAAGATCGCATCCATCAACATTCACAGCTAGGTGCTACCGTCATTGCTTTCACCCAGTGCATTACTGCGCATTTTCCCCTTCAACCGCTGTTAAAAAAGGCGAGAATTTGAACACAAAGAGTATAACAATCCGATGAAAATATGAACATTACGATATTGACACGGATTACAGTTACAGACAATTAAATTTAAGGAAGCACATGATCAAATCCACAGAGGAATAAGATACTCAACCCGCTCCTAACATAACCATCCTGATTTAACATGAAATAAACAGTAGCTTACATACCTAACATAATACTCCGAACAGATTTCCTGTGACAGCAAGACAAATGAACCTGACCTACTACCCAAATTAGTCGTCATAAAATTGCAGCATATGAACTACGAAGTAACCGCTGTCAAGGTCGAGCTCTCTTGTTGCTACAGGACGGACATTTGTACTGCTTGATGTGTTCAGCCCTTGCAGGGGTAATCTTCACGCACTTCCCGTGAAACCACTTCTCACAGATATCACAGCAAATCCAGAATTCATCAGCTGCATAGTTCTCTCCACATGCCCCACATAGTGTCTCCCCATGCTCCTCCTCATCTTCTTCTTCCAGACCCTCCTCATCTTCATCCTTTGATTGCGTTGCTTTCGAATACTTCGCTTGGGATTCAGATCCTCTCTGCGTTTGCTTACCCAAACAATGACAATAACTAACAGTCAGGCGCTCAAGTGTCATGCCAAACTGGACAAGAGCCGAAGGTCCCAGGATAAATATTTACTTGTCTCTCTAATTTGAATTTGAATTTTAACAACTATAAACAACACTATTCACTACTCAAAAAAAAGACATTAATCTCGACAATGATTCATCCCCCCTTTTCCCTGGCGGTAGGAACCGCTAGATCCTGTAACATACCTTAGAGATTGATTTGGATTTGTTACTGCTATGGTTAGAAACGGATGACTTCTCCTTTCCTTGTTTCTTGGCCATCCCCGTAACAACCTCAAATATTGTTGGAAGATCATTTATCATATTAAACAATCGCTTCCTGCAAGAACCAAAGGCAATTCTAATTCCTGTCACCTCTACTATGCATGAGGCATACTAATCTTCCATTTGTTTGTCAGAATCTGGTAGTGATTAGTGCTTACGTTTGCTAACAAAATTGATCAAACAATCAGAAGGATGGTCATTTTTTTTAATCAAACAGTCAGAAAAGTTTAATCCACAACCATAGGAAGTGTAAGCTGGTTTACTGGATTTGGTTTTAGCTAAGCAAAGCAATTTCAGCAAAGCATGATCATAAACATAGAACTTGCAGAAAAATGACAAGCTAGAACTTTCTGAGAAACCATTAAGTAACAATGAATAAAAAATTGGAGTACATAGCTTTGCTAGACCAGTTCAATAATAGTGGTATACTGTTTTAATGCCAAACAAAACCAAGAACTTGCAGGCTGTGACATAAATCTTCTTTCTGTTTGTGAATATTATGTAATGTTCAATATTTTATGGAACCACAGCTGCTGGAGTTTGTTTTCTAACTAGAGCACGATAATTTAGTTCTGTCTAGCAGTTTACAAAAGTCCTAGTATTAAATTGCAGATTTAGTTTCAATTCCAACAAGATTGTAACTGAATCCAATATTTCAAAGCACAGGATCAATTCAAATTCCAATATAATAGTCATCTATTTGTTTGATACAGCCGGAACTCAAATTTGCAACTCTATTATACTTATTTCATTGTTTGAAGTAACCAATTTACTAATGTTATGTTTCAATAAAGCAGCAAAAGACCTTAGCTTCATAACAAGATACATGAAAATTAATAATGAAGAGACAAAGTCAGACCCTCAAAGCAGTTAGCCCCAAACTAGGCTACATTTGGACAAACTCATCAATCATTTTAAGAGCAAAGCTATTCAAATTTATGAATAGAACAACCATGTTACTAACCAAGTGAATTGAAAATATACCTATCAGCCTTATCAAATCCAAATCTAGCACCAAAATAAAAGGCTACAGCAAGTAACCATGCATCACTGTGAACAGCAACCAAAGATAGCCAATCTTTTTCCTGCATCCCATCTCTGGCAAAGTTAATACCCAGTGCAGGTTCCGGAAGCTCTGGAGGCACCTCCTCGGCAGGCAGATTGACTTCCCACTGCTCACTAGGAAATCCATAAAGGCACAGATTCTCCTTCTCTGTACCACAAACCTTATATAAATCCACTTATTGTTTCTAAGTAAAAGAATTTCAAACAATACAATGCCATAGCATTCTATATAAACTATTTGGATTGTACGAGACCATAAGGCACTATTATAGCACAGGGCAACGGATTATATCCTTCATCCAGAGGACAAAATGTCAACCACATTGGCGATAAATCAAATAGGCACATGCTAACAGATGCTAACAGGAAAGAGGTCATCAGTTATGTCAGACAAAATCCAGTAGCAAGGGTTAAAATATTACAAATCAAAATATAAAATTCTAGTAACTTTTCACCTGCTCAAAACTTTAGTTAGTAAGTTTATTCTGGTTAAATTACACTACTCTACTTTAAAACATCCTAAATCCTATTAGTCTATCTTCTCGAGTCTGGATATCACTAAATTTCAATTAACCCAACTGATCATCTTTTGTTCAGAACTTCTTGCTCCTATGCAGGAGGGGCGGAAGAGAGTCAGAATATTAAATCATAGAATCCAGAGTACAGCTTGAGTAAATTTAGTTCCATTGGTTGGCACTAGCTATGTACAAGAATACCTATGCATTAGACGTATGAGCTTGACTGCGTTCCACTAGCCCAAAGAAGATCCCCACGCACATTCTTGGATAAATGGGTAAACTAAGGCCAAAAAATTTCTTGCCTCTCCCCACCAAGAATGATAACAATAAAATAAAATAAAATAATAAAAAAGAAATAGAAAAATGTGACCTCAGTTGCAAGAAACTCAGCCCTATAGATCAAGGACAGGTTCAGAACCATTGGTTCGTGAAGCACCTAAAATCCATGCAAAATTTTGTTCACTAAAATCAATTAAATGCGACTTGAAAGAAAATGTATTCAACCAACAATGAGGAAATGAGGCCATCTATCCTCAATCGCTCATCCTGTTCCTCATTCTCTGTGCAAAGTAATGCTCATTGAGCCTTATAAACTTTTGGGGTCAGAGCATGAACAAATAAACATAAAGTTGCAACATTTACCTCAAAGCCAAAAACAAATAGAGAATATTCTAATTAAGATTAAGATTCTACTCTTGCAATGAAGCACGATCTACTTAAATGCATATGGCATACATGCTATCACCCTTCCGAAAAAAATTTCAATACACATATGCACAAATACGAACATACAGTTACATACATATATATATGTAACGGCCACTTTAGTCAAATATGACAATGATAACTTCAGTAGAGCTTCGAAGCAAAAAAGTTAAAAGGCACAGTAACTGCTTCCCTTGGAGCAGCGTTACTACGAAAGAAATAAACAAGAAAGATAAACGAACAAAAGAGCCCGAGATATGAACATAGAGAAAATAAGAAGAGTGAGAAATGAAACCTTACCAGGATCGCACTGCTGATAAAACTCTTCAACATCTGCAGAAAAAAGAGAAAGGAAACACGTGACGTGTTACGTCCGAGATATACTGAGAATAGAAGTGAAATTTAAAAGAGAAGATAACCAGAATCAAAAGGACAAGGGCGAAAACATTTAAAAAAATGAAGGGAGAAAAGGAGTGGGAAGTGGATACCGGTGGTGAGGGCCTTAATCATGCCAGCACGGCGGCCCTTGAAATCCCGAAAGACCTCTTCGACGGTGCGAGGATTGTAGGGAGCACCTCCGTCCATGAGGAGCTGAAATTGGAGGAGGAAGCGGAGAGGGAAGTGAGCTTGTAAATGGAGGGAAAGATGGGAAAGTATTTGACCTGTGAGTGGAGAAGGAGAGAGAGAGAGAAACCGTAGGTTTAAGCGGATCTGAATCGGACAGAATTGGATGGTATTAGCTGGATTTGATAAAAGGACATGGAGTCCGCAAACCAGATTACACAGCCCGTTTACGAGAGAATTTTTCAAATTTTTTCTCTGCTGGGCCCACCTCCTATTTCCTTTCCCGATCCTCTATCTTCTCATTCATTAACGCCCATTCGCCTTCCATCTCAATTCTCTCGGACTTGTTTTTCCTGACGTGATTATTTTGAAAAGTTCAATAATCATCAATCAATCAGCATAATCATCCTAGTTGGGGGGCAAAAAAAAAAAAATAGCCGTAGTATTCATTCAATATGAATTATAAAATTTCTCAGAAGGAGTACGGTTCAAAAGCAATGAATAGTCTCACTCATTGTTTATATTTTATATAATTTATAAAAATATGTTGAACTTTTTCATGATAAGCTGGTGAGCATGCAAAGTAATTTTTTCAGTTATTGGCAACAATGATGATGTAATTTATTCAATTCCATTTTTGGCATTGCAAAATCTTTGCACAATGCCAACATTTTATATAGGATGTTGTTGAAATTATATTCTTTTTTTTTTGTTTTACATTATTTTAAACACTTAACCACCCTCTTTTTTCTGCCAAATGCCCACTCCTTATACGGCCATACCTTAGTATAATAAATTAATATAGATACTGTTTTCTTCTTTTTTTTTCCCAAATAGATACTGCTGGAGTTGCGCGACTCGTTATTTATCTTGTCAAAAATAAAGAGGTTAAGCTATATTTAGTCCAAAAAATAAAATAAAACCTTGTATTGACTCGGGACAAAGCCGAGCTAAGCAAGAGCTTAGCCTTTTCATAGCGTCCATGTTTGGATCAACACTCAACTTAGAATAAGTATGATAGATCAAAAGTCTAGCTGCTAATAAATAATTAAACATGACATTTCAGAACAAAAGACTCTAACATGAAAGGAAAATGCTATTGAACTTTGAACACTATCCAGAAAAAAAGTTAAAACAATCAAGCATTGAAATCTAGTGAATCTAAGGAAGTTGGGAGGATTCCACCACAATGGTGGATCAATTCTCGATGAAGTCTCTCGATTTCTGCCTCCGTTTGTGCCCTCGAGGCTGCCTCTGCTGAGTTTAAACTCCCTCTCAATATGTTTATTTTCCTCATTATGCTCTTTATCTGCATGTACATGCATATGGCTCATTAGTCTCTGCTCTCTGCATTATAATTTCATCACTCCCATAATGATATACATAACAACCAAAAGCGAAAAGATAAGCCACCTTTCTGTGAGGCCATCTGGCTAATCCTTCTTTACGGCATATTTTCTTCACAACTGTAGGACACAAGTTTACTTGCCTTGCTGCTTCTTCAATTGGTAGATGAAACACGTCGCTGAAATCACTCAGTTTCATCTTCCCCGCTCTCTCCCTCTGCATCACGTATTTCCTCAGCCATTATTATTAGAACAAAACAACATCAAGTACGAGATTCTCCCACCCAAAAAAAAAAAAAAAAAAAGAACAAGAAAAAAAGACCTGTGTTGAGAGACTAGTCCTAGTCTTATCCATATCCTCGGCCTCATCAGATGCTCCCCCTGCAAAACATGAATGTTTTGACGTTGTTCAGACTGGAAGCCAACAGGAGGTGACTTAACGAAGAGAGAGACTAACCAGAATTATCAGCCCACATGCCAAGGAATTCATCATTTATATCTTCATTCCAATCCATTCCAATGCAGAGTGCTTCGTAATAAGCTGACAGTGGATCTTGCACGGTGAAGTACCCCGTTGCATTTTTCTCCGCGCAGTACTGCCTCACAAAATTCTTGACATCCTCCATACTTCTGCCGCAAAAACTGATCGTATTCCCAAAGGGCTCCAATTCAGTCACAAGTTATGAGTGGCACGCCAACAAACACAGTAAAACAAAAGCAGGAGTTTGAACGTACTCGATCATGTGAATTTGCCGATCATCGCGGGAGTAACCCACATTAATATTCTGTCGAAGAATTGCATGACAGATCACACCCAGTCTTCCGTGAATCTCTAATTTTGAGAACTTAATCCCTGATCCAGACACTCAAGCTGTAAGCGGGAAATAAACTAAAATTGCCCAATATTTTTTATGATAGTCCCAATCTTACCGTTAGTATGAATTATTTCTCTAAGAACTTGGCAGCTACTACAATGAAAAGCGACTGGGTTTGGTGGCCAAAATGTAAGGGGAATCACATTGGGGAAATTATGTGAAGGCATATTCTCTTGACTTGGATGGCTTTCAACGCGAGGTTCAGATGGACCCGCTGCAAATTTTCCCTCTTCATGGGGACAATCACGCATGGCGGTATCTTGAATCACTTGACCCGAATTCGGATCATTACTCTGAAAATCTGCATCACTTTGTTGTGCGAATGATGAAGAATTCTGCTCATTGGATGGAACTGCAGGGAGTGGATTATGATCATTCTGGAAATCGAGGATGTCATAGGATATTGGGAGATCGTAAGGATCATTATAGGGAACAACAGGCCAGGGATCTCCCATGCATGAGGAACTCGACTGGAAACAACAAAACGCTTTCTCCTCTCTGCTCTGATTGTTGATTCAGGCAATTCAGTAGCGGCGCTGAGTGAAAGCGCCACCGCAGAGAGCGGAGAGCGATGTGGGGTTGTAGGCAGTGTCGTGACCCTTCTTCTTTGAAAGTGACGGAAGCATAAAAACTTATGTCGGAACACAAGTTAAATAAGAATGGAAAGAGGCGCCAGAGGCAGTTAATGACCGTTGGGAAACGTCGGTTGGCATGTTTAGGAATTCGTTAATTGTAGGGGGCAGGCCGACATCACTGCGTTTAGAGAAAAACTTTAGTTGATTTTAATTTTAATAGCAACGTCACACAGCGTGGCAAAACGACTCGCACGTCTCCTCGCCGTTTCGGCCAAGGGGAGAAATAGTTGGTAATGCTTCCAGGCTCTAACTTCTCTAATATACAAATCTTCGCTTGATTTTGATGTTTCTCCAATCTTATTTATAAGAAATTAAAAAAAAATCCACAAAAGAAGTATATTTTTGTAAAGACTGATTCACCCACCCATCCCTTCTGCTGTCTTCGACTCTTGGTTATAAAATAAAGCAGGGCATGTCCCTAAAATACTTATGTGAAGAGAACATTCTACAACGCAGGAATGCAAAAACAAATAATCATGCCTTGACAATAAAGGAAAAAATAGGAGAAAATAGCTTCTAAAAATTACTATACAATATTTATATCCCAAAAGAATCAAATGATTTGATAATATCACTGCAGTGCTTTAGTCTTTCTAATATATTAATTTCAGATGCAAAAAGATCAAAATGCCCTCATAATTAAAAAAACAAAAAAGAAAAAGAATCTCTCACTAGTGCTAGCTGTCAGACTCCGCCAGCAACGAGGTCATTAAAGCCCCTACTATCGGCAAGGCCAAGAATTGCTAGAGCTCCAGCTCCAATGCTGACAACATTTTATTTTAGAATTGAAATTTTTAAGTAATCAAGAATGGGTTTGATCCCACAACTCTTGACCACCTAAAAAGTACTAAACCCTTTGTATAGAGAGAGAGTGTGTGTGTGTGTGTTACTTCCATATAATAACCCAATGTGTGTTCTTAATTTCTAAACAAAACTTGTTATTTTATAAATGTCATTTGTTAATTTGACATGGATATTTATAAATTGAAAGGTTTTAAAACTTCAATCATTTTACTGGTTAAATGTCCCAATGTCTTGTTGTCAATCACAAATATATTATTATCAAAATCAAATGGATACTTGTCAATGAATAACTAACACACACAACTAAACACTTTCTATCATTTTTTTAATTTGTTAAAATCATAATAAATTTTTTTAATTTCAAATGAATTGTTGTTATTTTATGAATGTCACTGTCAATCGGACATGGACAATTACAAATTCAAAACTTCAAAACTTCACTCATTTTACAAGAAAGAAAAGAGGCATCAGCAACAGTGGGGGTTTTTTTTTTTTTAACTATGAGAACATTTAGGTCTTTTCGCATATGAAATTAATATGTCAAGAAGACTAGAGGATTGCAGTGATGTTACTAAATCATTTGATCTTTTTAGAATATAAATATTATATAGTGATTTTTGGATGCTACTTGTTCAAAAATAGTCCATTTTTTTAAAACAAAAAAAAAAGATGTCTAGTCTAAATTATTCTTCCTCGTCTCCCCCTTCCAGTAAATGTCAAATGTAACAAAATTAGATGCGGCTTTCATTTAATAGAGTATGACGTGTAAATGTGTAATTACTCGCGATTTGTGGATCATTTAACTTGCCATGAATTTTACACTATATATTGATGATATTCATTAGATCTTCGAGTGCCAGTGGAGTCACTATATTTGTTGGTTAATCGCGCTTCGTCCGTCACTGTCGATGAAAAATCCTGCTTTGTCTATTTGGTAAAATCTAATTGTCCATTTGGCTTTGTAACTTTTAGTATTTAAAAAATATTTTTTTTACTTTCTAAAAAATTTGATTTTTAATTTTTTTAAGAAGTTTATTTAAAAGATACTTTCTAAATGTTGTTGAATGTACTTTTGACTAACTTAAAATAATAGAGCTTTTAAAAAGTAAATTTAAAAAGTGTGATGTTATTTTATCATACTATCCCAAATTTAATATCTTATTCTTTTATTTTAAAAATAGTTAATTTATTAAAAATATAATTATCATTTTAATAATAATAATTAGGTATCAAGGTTTTAACATTATAAATTGAATAATTAATCATATTAATTTTTAGCATTAATGTACAATAAAAATTACAAATCTTTATCATATTTTTTAAAGTTACAAATTAAAAAAGTACAAATAATTAGAGATTATTTAAAATCTTTATCACATTTTTTTAAATATTTTAAATATATTATATTTGTATAATAGAAATTACAAATCATCATAAGTTAATGTCCCTTTTGATAATTATATATTTAAAAATAAATTTCATTATCACAATTCAAATAATTTTTAAAACAGACTTTAAAAAAAATTATCTAAATATAAATTTTATTATAGTAACTAATTTTTATTAAATTAATTTTTATCAAATAAATTTTTACAAAAAAATTTTTTTTAAGGAACTGAAAATAAAACACACACCTTTCTATCCAAAGAATGAAGCTAAGCAGCCAGAAGTCGGCATTGAATTTTTGGGGATCATAAAGGCGAGAAACGAGGTTGACTGAGGTGACCCATTAAGTTTGCCTATGCCTTTTATTAATATCCTTTATTGTCCAAATTTTGAGTCATGGATTGGAATAACGATCTCTCAATTTGTCTGGTAATCATGATTAAGTCCCAAATGGAAGTGCAGATTTTGCATTTTTGTTTCGGGATGACCACAATTCTAATATTCCATTGCATTTGTTGTGCCACCCGTGCGTTTTTTTTAGGATCCAGTGCACTGTACATCTCATGGCTCTTGGCTCGTACTACCACTCTACTCTTGTTAACAAGTCAAATGTGTTGACACTGACAATGTCAGCTTTTGACTTTAGGCGCTTACTTGCTCTGCTATCCCGGAGCACTCAACATCACAACAGAACCATGGATGTATTGCAAAGGACAAGGGAGCATGTATGTAAGATTCTTTACTTTCTTTAAGAAAAAAATCATCCACTCACATGCTTGTTCAAAGTTTCCAGTATTCAACTAAAACCTCAATAATTTGCAAGCCAGTGGCTGTCCAGACCTATACTCTCAATAAAATTCATTGTTTTAAATATGAATGGGTTCTAGCTGGACTCTAAATAGCTAGTTGTGTGATGAGGTTAAAATCGGGTTATGCCCTTCCTGTATCTAGCCTGATGGTTTATGAATTTCATCCAGATAACCTTGGTCACGCTAATAGCCAGAAACTCTGGATATGAAACGAGGCTACCTTTCACTCTTCTCTCTCATTTCCAGTTCTTCATTACCGTGTTGCATTAGTATTAAGCGTTATATATGGATTATGGACTAAATATGGACCTTGATTAATCCCACTGCTGATTTGTGGTTTAATTTTCATACGCAGGGCCGTAGATAACCAGGTAATGTAGGGGTCCCTTATTTTCTCAACTTTTCGTAGTTGTTCAGAGAATTTACAAATCAAAGCCTACGTAGCTGAAAATGTCAGTACCACCTAGCGATTTTTATCTTTTTCCTTCGTTATTAATTGATGGACAGATAGTAGTCCTGGGTAGTATCTTAGAATTTGCAGTTTTTTGAATGAAAAATCTAGCCCCAAAAAGCAAGGAATTGAATTTGATGACTAGTTGGAAAAGAAGAAAAAGAGAAATTGATGTTATTCTGTTATTGCAAAGACAGGAATCCTTATTTAATCAAGTTAACGGATGCCATAGTGGTTTTACTTTTTAGGAGATCGCAACTCTTTGAATTTAAAGAAGTAGTATTGATGCTGTTTGATTGTACTGGAATGATTTGTAATCAAAGGCTTCTGTATTTTCTAACTTTACTGTCCTATATGGATTATTGATTTCTGAGGTCCAAGGCGTCTCTAATTAATAATAAACCTTGCTGATCAAATTCATTTCGCGCTGGCAGTTACATGTGGCAACCTGTTCACCTGCTCAAGATAAGCAAAGTAGGTTAGGCTACGTGGCAATTGGGATCGACTTGCTCTTCTAGAATCAGTAAGTAGATACTGAATGTCTTTCTAAGTCTACTGCCAATCAAACGTTCTGCATCAAGCTTTCTGGGTTATAAGAAATAAAAGAGAAACATTGGAGCATAGGAATATGATATTTGGATAAATATCAACGCGGCAGTTTGGAAAAGTCCCGTCTCCTTAGACCATGAGGAGACAAATGATCATATCTAAGATAAAGCAAAGGAGGTGGCTCACTTGTGGTTGCAAGACTTGGTTATTCATGTCTGCTCCCCCCCCCCCTTTTTCTTTTGGTTATTCAGGTCTTCAGGGCCATATATCGGCTTGAGAGGGAACCCACATTCAGTTGTTTCATCCACACAAGTACGTATGATATGATCAGGCCATCTCCATTACCTGGCATCTGTATTATTGTGAAAGTTAAGGCAATGATGAAGGGGAAAGTTCTAGAACAAAAAAGAAGTCTATAAATATCCATGCATTTCTCATTTGTAATCATCAAGTAAAATAATAAAGCGCTCAAATTCTCTCATTTAAGTTCTTTACTTTCACATGCGTTTTAAGCTTTCTAGCCTTTTTTGTGTACATTTTGAAGGTTCGGTGACTTAACAAAAATTAAGAAGTTAATCAAGCTAAAGCCAATATAATTTAAAAAATGAAAGGTTCCAAAACTATGAAAAAATTCATTACATGCATCTCATATTGAAAGGAGTTGAGTAGGGTATTGGGTATAAGTGGGTGTGTTATGTATCTTATCAACTTAGCTTTTTGGGAAAAAATGATGATGCCATGACAAAATGGTATAAGTGGATGTGTAATATATCCAGTAGGCCACCTGTGATTAAGATATCATAAGTTGACCACTGCTTTCTGCTACAAATTGATGTTGTATTAATCAACTTCTTCCGAATAAAAATCGCGTACATCATGTTGGATAATGGATATCGCGCTCGCGAATGAATAATGGTTTGTGTTACGTTACATACATATGTTTAGTTAGGATTTTA